AGATCTTTGGACAGAAGGAATGAGCTGATGTATTTTTATATCCCCTCACATAATAAAACCCTCATTTTGTTACCTAAACAAGAGTAAACACAATACAGAGCCATGCTTATTAGTCCTACCTCTGAGAATGTTTATTACTCTGAGATGTCTAAGTTTACCCTTTGAATTCAGAGAAAAGTAAATAAAACCCACTTCAGAAGAAATATTTTAATATGTACAAGGCATTAAAACTATTTCTTATCTGATTGGTTTTCTCTCTTAATCATCTTTAAAGGAAAACATCAAAAAAGAAAGCCAAAAAAAAAAACAATGCCTTTCAGGGATTTTGACAGAAAAGCACTTTCTGAGTAAAGCAGTGGTGCCCAAATAGGCCACTCACCTTGACAGGCTAATCGCACCACAAAATATACAGCAGAGGAAAAGGGAAAAGCACACCTGCAGACTGCTGAATTCCTAGGCCTGCTGGTGGGCATGAGGAAGACGGAGATGTCCCTGAGGTCAGAGGGTGACCAAATGAGCAAAGGGGCAGGGCACCGTCTGAGTGCCCTCTGGGGTGTGGGGCCAAACTGTGTATAGGCTACAATTTAAGATTTTTTTCTTAAATGAAAATACTTAAAAAGTGAAAGATTTTTTGAAGTCAAGTCTAAACAGTGACCTTTCAGAATTAGAATTTGTCCAGAATAATCAATTCCTGTTCCTACCTAGTTCACAAAAACAAAATGTTGAAATTGAGAAGGAGCATACTGGAGTAAACAGGAGGCTGAGCATTAGCAGTTTCCAAAGGATACCCAAAAGGGAAGTTCAAGTTCAGTAAATTACCCTTCCCATACCAGAATCTTTTTTGAGTTTCAAACTGAACTGCTTCTAAAATTTAGAAATTCACATGTTCAAAGGAGAGTAAGAGCTGCACAAATCTGACTATAGACGGTGGGAGGCCAAGAATGGTGTCTTTTATAGTTCTGCAAAGAGATGAAAAATCAGACATACAATTGTCTCCTCCCAACAGAAAAGCATTTAAAGAGTAAATGTAAGAGGGTTTTAACTGGAAGACAAAAAGCAAAATAACGGCCTCATCTTCATCCAGCACGTCTACATTTGACCACAACAGCCACCATCCTTAACACATATAGACCTAGCTGTCCACATATATGTTTGTGCATATAAATTTACACATTTTTGTTAATTTAAATAAAAATGAAAGGTCAAATCCCAAGCTAGTAAGTGTTTACCAAATCCTGACCAGCCAGGTCCTAAGGGCATAACTAAAGTCAATATGAACCAGTACAAAAACAGTGTGTTGACCGGGTCCACTGCTCCTCAAAATAGTCTCTGTCTGAACTCTCCTACTGGTCTGAGACAGCAGGACTACATCACACCCCCCCCAACATTTGTTTCAGTTTACAGTATGCTAGAGACAGTTTATGTCTTAACCTCAGCAGGAGTTAAAAGTTTTTAAAAAAGAAAAAAAATCAAGAAAAATACTACTCTTGTTCTTAACCAACCAAACTTAAGATATCCAGTGCTTTCTGATTTAGTAGTATAATCCAGAAAGGGAAATAAAATCAGGCAAACAGAGAGGGGGGGAAGGGCAACCACATTAAACAATCCGTGGTAACAATGTTTCCCAGTGTCTGGGTTGGCATAGACACTTGATATCAAAATATATGATATCACATATCATAAATAAACTAAATAAAATTCCAAAAACTAAATAAATTCTAACTAAACTAAATTCTAAAGCTAAATAAAATTAACAACTAAATAAAATTCTTCCTTACTCTAACATCTTCTCTAAGAAAATTTTTAAAAATATCGTGAAAAGCTAAGTCTATGAAAATTAAAGTCTAAGTATTTCCTACTCACTTGTGCTAATGATTCTTAGCAGCAACAACTGATGGGTTTATAAATAATCCCGAAAAATTAGGTTTGTTTTATTTACTAAATCTCTTTGAAAGCCAGGAGGCTCCAGTTGGGTATATATATGTTTGGGAGTGTATGATTTTATGCTTTTGGGTTTTGAGAAAACAAAATCATCCACCAAAATAATGTGGTTTTGTAGAACATGGCAGGTGTCCTGGTTTTTGAACATTCTAGGAGTTGAGTAAAAGCAGCATTCTATTTTATTCTCAAAATGCTTTTTCCCTTTTTAAAAACTCATTAATGTTTTAAGACTAATATACCTTTAGCACCATTCTTTTAAAGAACTGTTACACTCTTTCAAAATGAGACTTCTCAAGTTCAAAGCCACTGCCACCCTTGCAGAACAGCAGAAGCTCTGACCACCTGGCTGCTGACCCTGGCGAACTGTGCTGTCAGGCCAGTGGCTTCCCTCTTGCATGGGCCCACCAGGAAGCTCAACCAGTTAATGAGCCCACCAGCTGAAGTACTGGGCGACTTGATCGCTGCCCTGCACCCTTGGTGCCACTGCATGCCGGTGTCTTCACGGCTCTGGCGGGGCTGCCCTCCTCCATCTTCTCTCCATACACACCCCATGGAGACCTCATGCCTGGATCTGGGTCCATCCTTCACCTGCTCTCCTGGCATCTCCACTTGGATGCCTCGGATGCACCTCAAAACCTAAAGCATTTGAAAATGAGCTCATAACTTTTGACGTTTCCCCCTCAACTCAGACTCTTCTCTGGTGTTCCCTATTCAGACAACGGGCCCATCCCATAAGCCCAAAGGCCCGAACCAGAGGCCTAGACATTACCCTTGACCCTCCGGGCTCCTCCTCAGCCCCCCCACCTGTTGCCGCAGTGTTTGGGAAGACCCAGCCCACTGCTCACTTCTCTGTACATCTGCTGTGTGGCCCTAATCGTTTCTGAAAGCCTTAGACACACTAGTTGTCTCATCTCACCCCTCTCACCGCAAACAAATGTTTTCCATTCCCACTATGTCACTCAACTTCTTGCTCTGTCACCAGTGACTGTCGAATTGTGTTGAACTTAATCCGCTCGCCACCTCTATGCCCTTTTTCTGAATAGACTGAGTTAATCAACTCTCCAGTCCAGCCCTCATCCTTCCGTTGAGCTTTAGGTGCACCGCACAGGCATCTCCAGACCAGCAGGGCACACACTGAACCCACCTTTCCCCCCTTTTTCCACCCTCATCACCACCATTCCCAGTAGCGCTGCTGCCTAATCAACCAGGGTGCACATCTGAGCTCCTTCTGGACTTCTGCCCTTAGTGCCTACAGACTGTCCGTCACCAAGGACTGCTCTCTCCCTCCTTAAGGGAAGAACTCCCCTTTTCTATTCTTGCTACTACCGCTTTTACTTAACGTCTTCATTGTCATTCACTCATCCCTTCATCTACTCAACAAATATTTATCAAACTCCTAGTACGAACTAGATGCTTTAGCCATAATCAGATATGTCCCAGCTCTCACAAAGCTTACTCTTTTATGGTGAATCCTGCCATCCTCTCAGGCATCAGCGACTTGGGATAGTGTGCCGAGAGCTACAAAGGGATGGTTTAGGATGCCACGTGAGCATACAGGAGGGGTACTCAATCCAACTTTGTCTAGGGAACATTCCCCAGGAAAGCCACATCTCTGTTGCGTAGGTGAGTAGGAGTTAGCCCAGGGAAGTATTTTACACACAGGGCCTGGCTTGTGAGAGCTGAAAGATAAGACAGCTTGGTGACATGGTGGGATTGGTGACACTTTGCTAGGCTAACTTCATGTAGGCAATTGGGGAGTCCCCAAAGTGTGTTAAAGAGGAGGACAGAGGCAATGAGGGACGGCTTTGGGAGCCGTCACGCTGACTCCTGTGTGGGTTTCAGAGAGGAGTTGGCAGGACTTCTGGGAGAAACATGAGTTTGGAAAACATTCTGGCAATCCAAAAAGCAAAGATGACCTCAATGTTATGGTGGAAGAGAGTGGGAAACAACAGGAAGGAGTCCGTTTCTACACAGGATTAAGGAGATGGAGTTAAGCAGGACTTGGTAACTGGTTGGCTGCTGGGAGCAGGGACATTGACCTATGACCCACAGGAAGGCACCGGTGAAGCCTCTTTGGACTGCGGTGTTTCATTTCCTTAGGGCCCTGGCACTCAGGCCTTTTGCTCCTGCTTCCCCTTGCACGCTTTTTCCTTAACATCTAAAAACTGTTTCCCGTAGGGTTTAGTAGTTGCAGCTGTCGTTACTGACATGTACTGCATCGGCACGTTAAGCAGATGTGTGTCAAAACTTTGCACCTGCAGATTTAGCTCTTACGATTAAGGAAAACGTCCACATCCTGCCGCCATTGTGCAACCTATTTGCCGAATTGGGCTGACTTTCTGTGAGGAAAAGCTCGACCTTATTCAATACACTTTTAAACAACCACACGAAACCATCTCACCCCCGACTTCGACTTCAGAAAGCCGTTCGGTGAGCTTCTCACCCGATGAAATCAGGCCCTGCCCCCTCAAGGATTCTAACACTTCTTCCTGAAGCGCTATCAAATCTTTCGGCGTTGCTCACCAGCAACGGAAAAACGAGACCCTGCAATCGCCTCGAAATAGCTACAAGAGAGGGGTGTTTGCATTCGTCCTAAGCAGACAACGGAAGCAAATAAACACGAAAACGTCCATTTAGAGTCTGAGCCGGCGCTCCTGGAGCCACTCCAGGTCCCCCGCGTGCCACGGCCCCGGCCCCAGCCGGCCGGCCGCCGGGGCGCGCCCCACAGCCGGTGGCCCCCTCTGTCCCAGCCTCGCGCCCCCGGGCCGTCCAGAACCCCGGCGCGGCCCCGGGAGGCGCCCTGAGGGCAGGCCCTTCTGATTTCTCATTTGGCCTCCCGTGAAGACGCACTCCGTAACACTCGAGGACTAAACCCACGGGACTCACTTCCACGAACAGAAAAGTGAGCTCCCGCCCGGCCCGGCCCGGCCCCCTTCCTGGGCCTTGGGACGCGAGCCTCGGCAGGCCGCCAGCAGGAAGGGGACTCCCGCCTCGTCTCGGGGGCGGCCACGGGCGCCCGGCGCCTTTCCCCCGCTCCACCCCATCCACCCCAGCCTCACACAAACGAGTAAGGAGCTGGGACCTTCGCCTCGACTCAGTCCGGACGTCGCGATCCCAGCGCAAGCTTTCCGCACTCCGACGCCTCCGCTGCAGCCATCTTGCGCAGAGGCGGGCGACGCCTTTTGACTCTCGCGCCAACCCGTAGAACGAGGGCGCCGCGAGGGGAGTTCTGCGCAAGAACGGAAGCCGAAGCCCACACTTCCGGGCGGCCACCTGCCCCGTCCCCCTCTCGGGAGGGCTTCATTGGTTGCCGGCTTGCTAGCTTGCGATCTCGCGATCTCGCGAGAGGTGCTGAGGGGGCGGCCGACGGTGTGTCTGCCCTCCCGCTCCCCGCCCCGCCCCCGCCTCCGACGCGGCCTCCCTCTGCCCGGGCGTCCCCGCCACCACTGCCGCCCCTCCCCGACTCCGGGAGCGGCCGCGGAGCCGCCGCCGCCCAGACCGCGCAGCGCGGGAGGCGGGATCCGCACGGTAAGATGGCCCCGGCGGGCACAGGCAGCCGGGCCGAGCGTCTCCGCGGGGCCGGGCCGGGGCCGGGCGGACCCATCGGCGGCCCCAGAGTGCGCCCCGCCCGCCGAGGGCAGCCCCACTGGGGCTGACCCCGCTCTGCGAGGTGTTGGGGGTCAAAGGTGCGAGCAGGTGTCGGAATTTCCGCGCCTTGTCTTTCCGGGGCGGCGGCGGCCCGTGGATTTGCAAGTCAAGCTGCCCTTTTTCCTCCCCGCCGAACTGGCGCCTCACGTCGTGTGCCTTGGAGTCGGTTCGGTTTCTAGGCTTGAGGCGAATGTGTGAGAAGCGAGGGCGCTAGCGGCAGAGGTGGTCCGCAGCCTGAACCGTGTCAGTTACTGGAAACTTTGTACTTCTGCCTCTGTGCAGAGAACGATTTTTGTAACACTGTCTTTAAAACAAAACCTTCTGCTTTAAAGCGGAAACGGGTGAGGACGTAAATTATTTCCTGGAAAGCAAATGTTGGTCGTCTTCAGAATTTGTTTCTTTCTGTTGAATATTGAAGTGCTGGAGTTTGAGACTACTGAATTTTTCCTGCGGAAAACAGAACAGGCCAGTTCTCCGAAGTTGTTGCTTTTAATAAGCGCGTTACCGCCAGGGAGTGGCACTAGTGTGATTGCTGACGGCCAGTGGAACCCGAGGGAAAGCTGCCTTTCCCGAGGGACTTGTAAGATCCGTCCTAGGTTTCCTTTACTTGTTGTGAATAACAATTTGATCTTCGTGAGATTTACCGTTGACTGTAGCCACGGGCGGTGGGTGTTGGAGTGATGGCATCTCTTGGTTTTACCTTCCCTGCTGTTCCACAGCACGTTTCCCTCTGGTGGCGCCTCCATCCCTGCTGGGTCGTCTCCAAGTTTGGCATCCTCCAAGAAACTGAGGACTTGGTCTTGTGCCCCCTTCACATTCCCTATCTGCACTCTCCCTAAGTGATCGTGGCTGAACCCTTGGCTTTAAATATCTTTTTTCCCCCCAGATATTTCCCTAGTTAAGGTTTCCAGCGCTGAGCTCAGGATCTGTCATCCAGATGCCTGCGTGACTGCCCAGCTGCATGTCTGGGAGTCCTCTCATACCTGTCCCGCTCCTCAAACCTGTTCCTCTCGCAACCTTTCCTTATTGCGGCCCCATCCTCCAAGGCCTCCCACGCCCAAAACCATCCTCGGTTCTCTTTCTTTTGTCCCTCCATGCCCAGTCCAGCAGTAAGCATTGACTCTGGCCAAAGCATCTTGGCCTGGCCGTGTCTCTCCATCTCTTCTGCTGCTGTCCTCTCGCTCGGGTGTTCCCTTATTGGACTTGCTGCTCAGCTCTCAACACCCTACGTCCGTCTCACTGGCAGCTGGGAAACCAGAGCCGTCTTTTAATTGTTTGATTTATTGAAACAGTCTAGCACATACTTTGTTTTGTGATGTATGTGTCAGGAACAAGGGGCAAAAGCAAGGTGGACAGTGGTGTGCTTACTGCCCATCTCAGGAGCCCACTGGCAGTCCCACCAGTGGCAGAGCTGCCTCTGTGGCCCCAGCCATCTGTCCCTCCTCCCGCCGGTAACCACCTCCTGACCTTATTTTAAAAAATAAAACGGTTTTGCCACGTTCATATTTATTACTTAAGGCACACGTCATTTAGTTTGTCTCATTATTTTTTTTTTTTTTTTGAGACAGAGTCTAACTGTGTTGCCGGGGCTAGAGTGCCGTGGCGTCATCTTAGCTCACAGCAACCTCAAACTCCTGGGCTCAAGCGATCCTCCTGCCTCAGCCTCCCGAGTAGCTGGGACTACAGGCATGCACCACCATGCCCGGCTAATTTTTTCTATATATTTTTTACTTGTCCGATTAATTTCTATTTTTTTAGTAGAGACGGGGTCTCGCTCTTGCTCAGGCTGGTTCCGAACTCCGGAACTCAAACAATCCGCCCGCCTCGGCCTCCCAGAGAGCTAGCATTACAGGCGTGAGCCACCGCGCCCGGCCCTAGTTTGTCTCATTCTTTACAAAACTCGTGCCACACTGAGGCCTCTACTGCAGCTTGCTTTGTTCATTCAGCATTGTTCGTAGGAGTCACTCATGTGATTGTGTGAGTTCGTTTATTTTAACTGCTTTCTTAAATTCTGTTGTGCGCATACGTGACCACAGTCCCTTCTCAGCAATGCTAAAATCCAAGTATCTCCGAAACCAAAAGTTTTGGGTTTTGTTTTTAACATACTTGGTGGCAAAACCTTATCTGGTAAAGTTTAATAATCTCTATTGCACTTAGTATGAATACTCAGACAATTTCACTGAAGAAATAGTGTCTGATTACAGGGTGCTGCCCCAGAACCCAGAGAGGCTATCGTATGATAAATTGTGCCATATAGTCTTTGTACAGCCTGAGACATCCTGAATTCTAAAACACATATGTCTGTCCAAGGGTTTTTGCACGTGCAATTGTGGTTCTGTATGCCACGGTTCCTTTATTCATGCTACTGTTGAGTGAACATTAAGGTAGGTAGCTTCCACATTTTTTGCCATCATATAACATGTAATTCTTTATCTTATAACTCTCCAGCGGAGAATCTAAACACTTCCCTCAGCTATTACTTTTTTCCTGTAGAAATAAATCAGAATGAGTTATGCAGAAAAACCCGATGAAATCACAAAAGATGAGTGGATGGAAAAGCTCAATAACTTACATGTCCAGAGAGCAGACATGAATCGTCTCATCATGAACTACCTGGTCACAGGTAATGGCTTGAATAAGGATATTACCACTTAAACATAGTTCTCCCTTTTTGTGCAAACAAATAGTGCTTTACCACTGAAGATCAATGGTAAAGTTATGTTGCGTTCAGACGTTATAAAAACACATGCTAACTTGATAAATACGTAAGTTATCATGTTAAAGATAACCTTTTCTGGAGAGGAGATAATCATTCCAGGTCTCTGAGACCTACGGCAAAAACCTGTTTCTTGGCCTTTGATAGTTTTACAGTTAGGTAATCCAAATAGTTAAGACTATTCTGAAGTACATTTGAAGCCCAAGCAATTGCACTCTGCTGGCCAGTCTGGTAAAGTGCAGGGGCCTGTTTCTAGAGAGGGAGGGGGAGGGGCAGGAGTGTGCAGAAGGAAGCTGCACTCAGACCCTTCTTGACACTGGGGAGGAGGAGAGACAGGGCTGTACATGGTAAGAAAATCCAGACGCTTCAAAAGGCATAAAACGGAAAGTTGGTCTCCCTCCTGATAGTCGTCAGTCCACCCTTCCGAATTCATCTCTGTTAGAAGGTTTTGGAAGGTGGTGAGGAAATCTAGGCCTATAGTTGTGGGAGGGAGAGGCTGGCTTTGACGTGGGAAGGAATCGCAGGCTCACGTTGAGAGGTCGCTGTAGGTAAAGCCCCCACTGGAGGTGCAGCTGTGCTGTGGAGGCGGAGCCAGTGTTTCCGCCTCAGCGGTGGCCTCAGCCTTGTCAGAGGGGCCCACGCCGGCACCTGGGCCAACAGTCCTTCCAGCCTCTGCAGCTGACCGGTTAGAGTTCTAGGTGGGGTGGAAAGGGGCGAAGTGTACTTGAATTCTCATGTTCTGTATTTTGAGGGATGACTTGTAAATCACAAAGATGTTAGTACCAAGTCCTAAGAAAGTATGATTCATATCCGAGGTGACGTAATTCAGGCAGTTGGGCTCTCTAGAGATACGAGGACTTTTCATTAATTCTTTGCTAACTTTCCCAGCAGTGAAGATGGTTTTCATTTTCAGAGGGTTTTAAGGAAGCAGCGGAGAAGTTTCGAATGGAATCTGGGATTGAACCTAGCGTGGATCTGGAAACACTTGACGAGAGGATCAAGATTCGGGAGATGATCCTGAAAGGCCAGATTCAGGAGGCCATTGCGTCCATCAACAGCCTCCATCCAGAGCTCCTGGACACAAACCGGTACCTTTACTTCCACTTACAGGTATGTTTCAGAGGAGTCTGGTTTGTGGATACTTGATAAGCTAAGGCTATTTGCAATGATCCAGAAATAACTATGCTAATTTGCATTAATGAAACATTGTTTTGTGTGGGAAAGGGGTTTGAGTTAACTGCTATTTTATGTATTCCAGAAGCTGTTTTTTGCTTTTAAAATGCAAATGTAATAACTCAGAGATGCTGTAAACATCTTTCCCCGAGATGTCCTTTTAACTGAGACCAAGCCCCAGGTTGCTGTGTGTCGACAGCCTGGGTGTGTGGTTGAGCTTGTCTGTCTTTGCCGTGGACCAGCAGCAGCATTTGATTGAGCTGATCCGCCAGCGGGAGACAGAGGCGGCGCTGGAGTTCGCGCAGACGCAGCTGGCGGAGCAGGGCGAGGAGAGCAGGGAGTGCCTGACGGAGATGGAGCGCACGCTGGCGCTGCTGGCCTTCGACAGCCCCGAGGAGTCGCCCTTCGGAGACCTGCTGCACATGATGCAGAGGCAGAAGGTAGAGGCCGTGCAGGCAGCCTCCTGTCCTCCCTGCGCCACGCGTGGCTTCGTGGTGTGGATGAGAGGCAGATGACATCTGGGCACGGGACCATGGTGTGATGGCGGTGGTTCTTCCTTAATTTTTTATCTTTTATCTCATTGAACTAGGAACGGTAGAGTTTGTGACTATTCAAGAGTATTCAACCCCCTTAGCTTATTTTTCTTCGTTAACCCTCTTCCTGTTTATCTGGAGACTCTTAGAAACAGATGTCCTAAGTATTTTTAAATTTAAAATCTCTTATTCTGAAACTTTTCTGTCACTGCTACTCTTGTGACTGCCCAACATGCCAGCTCACGGCCTCCCCAGAGCCGGATCTCTCTTTGCACACGGCCTGACTGGCTCCTCTTCTGGGGCTCTGTCCTGCACTGTGGTGGCAGGACCACCTGTCCTTGAGGGTCCACTTGAGGCTTATTAGGAGGGAGCTAGTGTCGCCTGCTGCGCTGGCCCTTCCCTCCCACAGTGCTCAGCGCTTTGAGCCTCACTTGCACTTAACTGCCATGGAGGCCGATGGGACGGCTGCCGACCCGACTGAGCTCCCCCGGCAAGGACCGTGTGTTTAACTCCTGAGCGTGCCTCATGGTTAAGGGTTTAACGTTCGTTTAAATAAATAAGTTTCCTGTGTGAAAAACTGTTTCCGAGAGTATAAAATGCATTTTATTAACAGGCTCTTCTTTCTGGTGTTCTGTGTGTGGTTGTTTTATTGGATGTATTTATTTTCTAGGTGTGGAGTGAAGTTAACCAAGCTGTCCTAGATTATGAAAACCGAGAGTCAACACCCAAGCTGGCAAAATTACTGAAACTACTACTTTGGGCTCAGAATGAGCTGGACCAGAAGAAAGTAAAATATCCCAAAATGACAGACCTCAGCAAGGGTGTGATCGAGGAGCCCAAGTAGAGCCTACACGGGGGTCCTCCGCACTGTCCCCGCGGCACAGGACTTGCCTCCGCTCCGTCTGCGACTGGAAGATTTTTACTGCAGTTCTCTTTCTTCCCCCTTGTACTTTTCTTTTGACCCAGCATCTTTTTTAAAGGGAAAAATGGCCTTTTTAAGTGCTGGAAAACTCGCAATGAAACGCTGTCTCTTTGGAAGTCTGCCGCAGACTCTGCGGTCCACGCTCAAGCGTTGACAAGTAGCAGTTTGCTTTTCCAGAGCTCCTGGGACCTTGGCTGCTGGAGGATTTGGTTTGCCCTGGAGCGCTGCGTTGTTGCGAACAGCAGTTAGACTTCAGGCCTCCCACTGAAAATGCGTGAGACCTTGCTTTCTCGTGGCAGACAGTACGTCTTCTCACTTCTCCTGAGTCTTGTCAGGCCTTCATCTACAAGTTTTTCCTTTCCCTTGGCTTTTTGTTTTTTCATAGGAAAGAATCTATAAATTTGTAAATGCTAATTCAAAGATGACTTGCGTGTGAGGGTTTTGCGTTTGATTTGTTTTCCCTTTTGGTCTGGGTTGTGTGGCTTTGGGGAGGTGTGTGTGTGAGAGGGCGGGGCTGTGTGTTTTTTAATTTTTTAAATATATATTTTGGTGCTGTATGTGGTGAGAGACTCCTTCATAGTGGGTCAGTGACCCTTCTCTTCTTAGGCAGTTTTGTTGAAAATAAAGGTTTCTCTTTGATTTCAAGAATGACCAAAACGGCCTCTAAAAAGTTGTCATCCTCTCAAACGACCCTTTGTTTTCGGGGCATACTTTCCCCTGTGGCGATGTCAGTGGCGTTGTCTCGTATGTGCAGCTGGAAAGACAGCGTGGCGCTGTCTGTGTGCCTGGGGGCGGGGGCAGCCCTCAGTGGGCACAAGGCTGTTGGCAGAGGGTCCTCCTCCAGCGTGGCAGAGCAGCTTCTCTTCTGTTGTCAGCCGCTCTGCGGGGGTCCCACTTCTGTTCGGTTGCAGCCTTGTTCCCGTCCAGTGGTGGCAGGAGGCAGTTGGCGTGGTGTGGCTTGGTCACATGCAGGTCAGTGCAGTCGGCGACGGGCGCGTGCCAGGTAGCCGGGCGCAGGCGTGTTTGAATGTGTTGCACCGGGCCTGGCAGGTGCAAGTGACCCACTCGAGCAGCGCTAAGGGCAGGTTTTGTGGATGGCCACAGCACTGCTGACCCCTCAGAGCGAGGCCTGTGGGGACGGTGGTGGGCACCGTCCTGCTGGCAGCTGAGCTGGGGGAGCTGCTCCACTTACTGCATAGCAAGGGGCAGCCCCACAGGCAGGGTTGGGCTGGGGCGGGGGGCCAGCCTGCCAGCGCCTGAGCTGGTCGGGGTATCCGCCCCTGCTGGGGCCGTCCCCTCACACTCCTGCACCCCTCGAGTGTTGGCCGTTGAGTGTCTGTGGCACCGTCTCCAGCTAGCGGTGCGTTCTGCCTCTCGCGGGGAGCCCGGTGTGGTCGTGTCTCAAGCTCTGTGCTTCCGTGTTCAGTGGATGGGACTTTGTCAGTGTCTCCTTTCACCTAGTTTTCTGCGATCCTGTAAGACGCTCAGAGATAAAACTGTTGCAGTTGCGGTAAAAGCACTCTGGCCTGTAGACTGACCTTCAGGCTACTCTTTTGGTTTTGTGAGGGTGGAGTGCTGGGAGGTGGCCCTTCCCTGACCCTAGAAATGACGTGTCTGACTCTTGCTGTCTCTGCAGTCACCTTCAGATGCCACCTTCTTCAGGGATATTTCCTCTGTGGCTTGAGGATAAAAACAAGTTAGATGGAAAAGGAGTTTTAAGCTTCAGGTAATTAATGGGTTAAACGCAGCTGAAGCTAGAAGAAAAGTACTAGGAGAGAGATAGAGACAAAAATACATTTTTTGAACAGCACCAGAGAATGCAGCATATTCCTAATTACCTTCTATTGCTAGTGTGTGAGATCGTTCACACGCACAATTAATACATAATCAACTTGACGTACTCCCAGGGTGAGAGGGTATGAGACGTGTAGCAGTGGGACGCCTCGTCTTCAGGGGTTACCCACAAACCCGTGAATGGGGTTCTGCACACACACGGGATGTTAAGTGATTACGAGACAGTGTTGGTATTTCACCTGCCGCTTCCGTCGCTGAGTAGCTTAACGCGGCAGTGCTGGAACCCAGCGTGAGGTAGACGCCGTGAGACTTGGAAATCTCAGATGCTCTTGTTTTCTTCACCTGCATGGAAGAGGCAGCGTTTGCTGCCCCGAGGTCTGTAGTGGACTGGGAATCGAGGGAGCGCCTTGCATACTCCTCTGTTTGCCGCCTTCGTGCAGTCTTCGTTTTCGCAGCAAGCAAATGAAATTAAGCCACTTTGGGATAATGAATATTCAGTATAATTTGGTTTTTCTACTTTGTCTCATTTTGTTTCTCACTGTTGTGTTTATAAAATGTGGTTATGTTTTACAGGGTAGTTTATTTCTTTTTACGCTTTCTGGTGGAAAGTGCCTTGAAATAAATAAAATTTGAGAATATTCTGGTACTGTGTCCCTGATGGCGTAGAGTTGTGAGGTAACCCCCATTCTGGGTCTTTCTGAAGCGTGGGGTTATTGCAAAGCACATGGGGACTAACACATTTTGCCATTCGAATGTGGCAGGTTCTAGAAAAGGCAGACCCTGGTACGGACCAAAGGCTCCATGGTCTGCGACCAAAGAGCGGTGGCCCCGTGTGCACAGAAACTGCACAGCGAGTCCGCTCCGCCCTGGGGAGGCCGAGATGTTTTTTCCATCCAGCGAGGGTGTGATCTGAAAACATGTAGATAAAATATGTTAAGGGCAGTTTTGCTAAGGCAATATAGTTGTTTTTATTTTCTTATTTCTGTATGCTGTTAGTTTTGGAGGGTTGCGGAACCAGGAGTTCCAGAAAGAATCTTACACATTTTATGATAAGCACAGTGACATCCTTTGGGTAGCGCAGCAGGTTCCCTTCTGGGTTGGTGCTGCGCAGGCTCCGTGTGAGCAGAGACCAGATGGATAGCGCCATGCACGGAGGGGTCTGCCTGCTTCCCTGCCGTTGACGATGTCACGTTGTACACACGGGGTCTCGGGTGGTGTGGGCGCCGGCCAGACCTGCCAGCTGACACAGCTGCCTATTGTCATTGGCCTCCAGTCACTTTTGCTTTGCTGGCATGTTTTATCCTGATATATACATGTTACTTTTTACAACAGGTATGTTTTTATTTCAGAAATATGTTTTGCTTTTTCAGATTTTTTTGTAAATTGTATCGTATTAGTCATTTGAAATTCTGTCTAAAACCGTAGCCTGCGGTGGTTTCCTGTTCACATCTGTTTCTGTAACCCTTCAGTCCGCTGAGTACGTCCCCCTGTATGTTCCCCCAATATCTTCTGAGAAGTGCAGAAGAGGCGGCTTTTGCCGCCTGTTCTTAATTTGATAGTAAGTTTTCACATTTTTCTTAGAATGGTCATCTGAAAGCCCTTTTTTCTTTCATAGAATATTTCAATACGAACAAGGAATTAAATACTGATACTTTTTTTACTGAAAAGTTCGTATGTTAGAACTGGAAGGATGGCAGGAAATTAGTTTCATGTAACTTTATGCTTTGGTTTTGATCTGTCCCCACTCCGGCGGCGCTGGTCTTTTTTTTATTGTGTGTCTGTATACTTGTGTGTGTTTAGTTTGAAATCTGTCATCTGTTCTCCAGAGTTGTGGCACTTACATTCATAATTTAGTCTCCTTTTTGTAAAGGAAATAGAACTTTCTGTGTTACCCACTGCATGATTTTAAGCTGAATTGGAATAGCGTAAGTAGTTTTTCTTTTCTTTTTTTTTTTTACTTATGAAAATTTCCTAACATATCAAAAATAGAGGGACTACTGCGTACCCCCAGACATCTGCCGCTGTCTTGAGCCCGTGGCTGGAGGTGACTGCAGGGTCTGATCTTGGGTGGCACCTGTGCTTTCGGGCCATCGGCGCCTTCACACCGTTGTAGGACACTTACGAAGGACTCAGACTGACTCTGCAGGGCTGTGTGTGGCACGTGGAGGGACAGCAGTGTGCCGGGGCCGAGCCACGGGCCTCCTGGAGCAGGCCGTGCACATACGTGCTCATCCGGTACCAGAGAACAGAAAACTACACCTTCCCATCACTGCTCCCTGCGTGGCACCAACACGTCGCGGTGTCCTGGATGTCAGCACGCACTTGCGGTCCCTCACCCTTGCAGGCGGCAGCACAGTGGTTCTTCGTGGCGGTGGGTGTCACCAGGACCGCTTGGGTGACTCTGCAGGACAGTTTGAGAGCTTCAGTGGGAACCACAGTTCCTTGCACGTATGACCTGCCTGTCTTAAATATTCTGCCTGATTTTGAAACGCCATCCGCGCTCGTGATTCTTCTGCTTAGGTAACAGTAGAACACAGGGCTTGAGTGGGCCTTTGGTGTAACTAGCTGTGGCGGAATCTTCTGTGCTGGAGTGTCCTGAGCTGTTCTGCCTTTTCCAGAGGCCACGAAACAGCCCCTGGGGGTAAATCCGCCTGTGCCACAGACCAGGTGACACAGGGTGGTTGATGTGGAGGAGCAGCTGAGGTTCAGCCTGTGGTGGTGGGTAACAGCCATGTCCCCGCACTGTGGGCGGGGGTGGCTCTCGTTTCAAGGTGTGTGTGGCACGTGACGCTGGGATTACCTGCAGCAATTCAGCGTCTCCTGGGTGGAAGGCCAGGTTTGCAGGTCCAGCGTGACCAGGATACAGAGGGAAATTGATCGGGCGAAGCCTGTAGACAGACCCGTTTGCACCCAGCTATAACCGAAACAATTAACAAAAGAAATGACAACTGAAGACCAGTGGATTTTGTTGTGGGTATCTTCTGAGCGGATGTGTTTTCAAATGCAGGTCGCTGCATGCTGCTCTGCCGGCCGTGCACGCCAAGAGCTCACCTACCGCACAGGCGTGGCGGGCTGCAGACCGGCCTTTGGAGCTTTGGAGAGAGGAAGGCTTCTGGCATGCAGTCACTTCCCGTGCCATGAGTGGCTGCCCCACTGCCCGTGTGAAGAAGTGCTCTGCGTGTTGGGCTGGAACGTGTGAGCGCAGTGACTAGGGAGGAGTGGCCGAGCCACTGCTGCCCTAAGTGTTGCTCTCGGACACAGTCCGCTCGTGGCTGCAGCGACTTCCAGGAGCACGTCGGGCTTTGCCCACGTGTGGTGGTCTCGCTGCTGTGGATCACGGTGTCTGGCAGTCATAATTTTCCCACCTGGCTTTTGAAAGTGGAGCAAGCCAACCTGTCACCAAGGACCGTCTGTCTCGAAGTGTCCCGGAGGAGCAGGGGAGGAGGCGGTGGCCGCCAGGCAGAAGCCAGAGGACTGGCCAGGCGCTGGTCCCTGCTGGTGCACAGCTTCCTGTGCCTGGCCAGTCCTTAACCTCTGGGCATTCCAGTTTTAGAAATGTCGAACGGCCGTGTTTCTGAGATTCAAACAAGGACTTCCTCAGCACTTTGAGAAGAATGAACTGTTCCAGAACCTTCCAGAGTTAGCCCCTGTGTAGAGCCCACATTGCACTCCGTTTGTTGTGTCGTGAAGTTCATCTTTCTGGTTTCTGGTGAAATTTCGCACAGTTCTTTGTCCTGTTCTTGTCGACCGTTCAGTGTCGATTCAGTTCCAGAGGTGCACCCCGACCCCGTCAGTCCGTGCAGACGACATCCCGACCCTGCAACAATGGGGAGACGTGATGGGTCAGTCCTACTCGTTCGGACTTCTCATCTTTAGAATTGTACACTTCGGGCTGAAAAGGGGCAGGGGTTACAAGGAGGAGACCCAGGCCTGGGGCTGGCGTGTCTTCCTTTGTAAGAAGCTGTGCTGGGCTCTCTTCCAGGTCCTCGGGGGTCCTTGGCGGGGCTGCGGCAGAGGCTGTGGTGCGGGAGGAGCCACGCAGCGGTGAGCGTGGAATGGTTAAAAAGCCAGTGTGCGTCCCCCCACAGCCTGGCGATAAACTGAAGTTAGACAGGACACAGCCTCCAGGAACGAAGGCCTGTGGGCGCTGGCGTGACAGCTGTCACCAAGGTCACCCTCCATCCTTGAAAACCCAGGTGTTACCTGTCTACTTCATCCTCTCTGTATGTAATTTTTCACCTTAAACTTCAAAGATTGTTGGTGGGGTGTGGGGCAGCTCACAGAATCACCCAGAAGCCTAGAGCTTATGTGTCCACTGCCAACACCCAGCAGTTACAGCCCCCCTGGGAGATGTGGCCTGAGTCAGCAGCCCTGGCTGCACCCACACCTTCCCCTAGGTGAGGGTGGGGTCCAGGGAGCTCCCAGCCCAGTTGGGGCCCCCCTTGTCCTGGGGGCCTTGTCCTCCCTGTCTCCACCCCGGCTACCCAAAGCTGTCCACACAGTGGCCAGAATGGTCCCATGACACCATGGAGGCTTCCTAACTCCGGCCCAGGGCTGGTCTTCACCTGGGCTCCAAGGCCCATGAGTCCGCTTCCACCACGGTGGCCACGCCAGGCACCAGACTGTGCGCGTGGCCTGCCCCTGTGCTCACCAGACCTCGCTGGAACGTGCGTCAGCAGTGCCTCAGCCCAGCCACGGGAAACAACACCCCCACTCGAGGCTCCTTTTCGCTGTTTGTCTGCCAGCCCCAGAACATCAGCTCCGAGAGGAGGGGGGCTGTGGGTGGCCAAGCGACAAACGCCCACTACAGTGTGGTTATAGACCTTTAGATAAATTACCGTCAAAGAGCCTCATGGGGTGAGTGACAGCCACATCACCAGGAGAATAGAGCACATCGATAGCAGTAAGTTTAGTAACCACTTCCAAACTTGGCTGTGGGCTGGGGCTGTTTGGGGAGCTGAACCCCTCTCCAGCACCCTGTCCTGAACATCACATACGGATGCAAGGACAACCTTGCTATTAGATGCTGATGTCCTTTTGAGGTGTGTCCAGCAAGCAGAGGGGAGCTAGGTGCGGGCAGACTGGGCATGGGCACAGAGCGGGTGCAGGCCCTGCGCTGGGCTAGGCTTTTGAAGGCACAGAGAGGGTGGAGGGTAAGTTTGGGGTTTTGTTCTAAGCGCACTGCCAAGCCTTTGACACGACAGGATGTCTGCTTCGTGGGAGATGGCTTTAGGGAGCCAGAGTGGAGTTGGGGGTGAGGGTGTTTGAGGAGAGGCCCCGGGAGAGGTAGGATGTGCCCAGAAGTTCATGTGCTGACATCAATAGCTGGAGATATCCCACGGCAGGAGCACACCCACCCTCCCCCAGCCCAGAGCGCGGCACGTGGTCCGTGCTTAGAACACCTGTGCCAGTGAGTTCGGGGGCCAATGACAACCTTCATCTCCCATCAGCGAGCATCTGTTTCGTGGACACAGGCCAGTGCCTGAAGAACCGTCTCTCCTAGGCTAGCTCAAGGTCCCAGGCTTGGAGCCTGTCCCAACAGAGCCATTTAAAAATTGGTTCCCATGGGGTTTCACTGCCTTTGCGCTCAGTAGAGAAGCCTCCCTAATTTTCATTTGACCGGCATACAATCCAGTTGTCCCCGGCCACCATCACCCCCTGTTTCATGGACGGGAATCCCCCACCGCTCCCTGCCCTGTCCAGGGGCTCTGGCACGCACCTTTAGGGCCAGGGTCCCCACGGGCTCTGTCTCAGAAGCCGCAGTCTGACCAGCCTGCTGCAGGGGAAGCCTCCGTGCCAACCTCAGGCTGCGTCTGACCTCCCCAGACGGACATGGGCTGGGCAGGGTGGGGCGGAGACCCAGTGGTGTGCCCCGCCCCGCGAGCCCGCCCCGGTGGCCGTCTGGGGGCGACACGTCCTGGGAGCGCCAAACGGAAGCGCTGCTGGGACTGACACGTGGACTTGGGCGGCGCTGCCTGGGTGGGTTGGCCTGACCGGGAGTTGGGAGGGCCTGCTAGGCATTAGGACAGGCTGTGCCCCCGTCCTAGCGCCCAAGCCTGATGCAGCCGCCCCTAGACGAGGCCCGCAGGGACACGGCTGAGGACACCCAGTGGTCCAGGTGGGGCAAGGGACTTTTGGGGAGGGAGCTGAGACGTGTTCTGGTGGGACCTTGCTGGGTGGGAAGCGCTGGGCTGGGGAGGGCTCCTCTGGCCTTGAGGCTGCCAGCCCAGACCCGCGGCAGGGAGGGACACCCTGAGTGCCCCACCCTCCTCCCTACCGTCACGCCCAGGACCTGGCATGGAGCCCTTCTCCCAGCCCCGGGCCATGGGGGTCTGGCAGGCGGCTGGGCGTGTGGTCCTGGATGGTGAGGAGGTGCGTCCGCAGGTGGGGCCATGCCATTTATGCATCAGCTCAGGGGCAGTTCAGGCAGACTGGGGGGTGGTCAGGGGCCAGCTGCGGAGCACAGGCTGGAGCCTGTGGCCAGATGGTGGGGTCCTGCCACTGCGTGCTGGCTGTGATGGGGGTGAGTTCCGCGCGGGCCTCAGCTTCTGGGAGGGTTCAGCAGTGAGAAGAAGGGCCTACACAGGGCACCCGCCCCGTTCATTTTCTGTTTCCATAACCCACTGCTCCCTGCAGAAGTCTCCCAGGCAGGTGGCACCCACAGAAACCAGAGTGAGAAAGTGACAGCTGTCCATTGGCCAGCTAGTGAGGGGATCTGAATGAGAACCCCCAAGAGGAGCCCCCCAAGCTATAGAAGAGCTGCCGCTGGCTCTGGTTCTGTGGGCTAAGGCCCCTCAGCCCAGGTGGCTGGACCCCCGTACCCCGGCCTAGAGTTAGGCCCTGTGGACTCCGGAGCCAACTGCAAGTCCCGGGGAACCTGCCCCTCCACCTGCAGGGTAATGGCACCGTCTAGCTGGGTGGGGAGAGGACCCTAGCGCTGCCCGGAAGAGCTGCAGGAAGGCCTGAGGGACAGTGCCACCTATCCCAGGTGCTGGAGCCCGATGGAGGGAGGGCTTCGGGAAGGGGAGGCCTCTGAGCCAGAGGCTGTGTGGGGAGGGCCCCGCTGAGGGCCGCCACGGAGCCCAAATCACAGCCCTGACCGCGTCTCCCTGCCAGGTGCCAGCGAGGGGGAGGCCTCCCCAACCCGTGTTTATCCATTTCAGGCGGGGCCTGCACAACACTCCGGGTTGTGTTTTACTGGCCTGTCTGGCCTTGGCCCTACCCGCCTCGCCGCTGCGCTGCTTGGAAGGGGCACTTGCCACAGCCGCGACACTTGCTTCACAGGGACCTGGTCAGGGGCCCAGGCGTCCACATCTGCGCGTGGGCAGCGACAGTGGTGGCAAGTGCTGCTCTTGACACTGACCGCCCTCCACGTGGGCAGTCACTCTTCGGCCACGGCACAGGGTGGGGGCAGTGCGTGAGGCACAGGGTTTGGGAGGGTGGCCGGACCTGAGCGTCCTGTGCAGCTTGTCGCTCTCCTGGCCCTGCGGGGCCCGCACGTTTCCCTTTTCTGAATTGAGGGGCCACGTGACCATCTGTTTGCTCAGCCGTAGGTCCCTCCAGCACAGGGACCCTGTGCAGGAAGGGCACAGGAAGCATCCCGCTGGGCTGGGGGCACATGGCAGGCAGGGAAGGAGCTTTCTGGTTCCTCCCAACCACAGAGGATGTCGGGTTCTGGGCCTGGGGTCCTGCTCTGCCCTCGGTGTGTGGGGACTTCCTTGTTCTGTGCCCCTTTGCCAGCCTGGTGGGCACCACCCGCCCAGCTCAGGGTCGGGGCTGTGGTGCCTCCTGGCCTCCAGGGCCCACAAGTGGGCACTGAGCCCCGACCCCACACAGCCCAAGGGGCCCCCACTCTATGCTGCAGCTCAGGGCAGACTGACTTCCTGTGGCCGCTAAGGAGGCCGGGGTATGGGGTGGCACCTCATTCTCAGTACGGTTCCAGCCAGGGGGTCCGCCCCCGGGGGCTTTCCACCCACCCAGAGGCAAACGGGGCCGGCTGTCTGCTGGCAAAATGCACCTGGGGAGGGGGGCTGCCAGGGACCCTCTGGACACAGGTGACTGCTGCTTGACCACATGAGGGATACAGCTGCCATTTAAAGGCACCTTTGGACCCAGTGGCCTGTAGTGGGAAATTAAGGGTGTGGCCCCCACGCCCCTGCCAGGATCTTGTGTGTTCAGTCGGCAGAAAACAAACCCTGTGTGCGTGTTTGCAGAGAGCTCGAGCGTGGGGCCGGTAAACAGTGGCCGTCCAGGCGTCGGCCAGGCCAGCGCTGCGGCAGGTGGACCCACATCTCTCTGTGCTGCCCCATAACCCAGAGCAGGGTTTGCTCAGAAGGAGCAGATCTGGTGCCTGGGCCCAGGCCAGGGCCAAGTGTGGGCCTGGCCTCAGGTGCCACCAGTTGTCCCCAGAGTGGACACTGGCTGTGGATGATGGTGACAAAAGCACACCCCATCAGTGAGTCCAGGACAGATAGCACCTTGTCCACACGAGAGGGGCACTGAGCTGGGGGAGCCTCAGCTCCCTCAGGCTAGAGCCGGGATTTCGGCAGAGTGTGAGATGTCAGGGACTCGGTTCTCCAGGTTGAGGTGGGCTTGTCCCTGTCTGATGTAACAGGTGCATCTTGTTGGGTCGTTCAGCAGGCTCTCCTCTCCCACAGGCCCCAGTGCCAGGCGTGGACAGGGGCCCTGCTGCTGGGCACATGCCTGCTCTACTGTGCCCGCGCCAGCGTGCCCGTGTGCACCGTCGCCATGAGCCAGGACTTCGGCTGGAACAAGAAGGAGGCCGGCATCGTGCTCAGCAGCTTCTTCTGGGGCTACTGCCTGACCCAGGTCGTGGGCGGCCACCTCGGGGACCGGTAACCGCCCCACCATGGCCCGGCTCCAGGGGGCTGCCCCACATGGTCCAGGGTGGGTGGGCCAGCTCCTGAGGCGGGAGCTTGGCAAATGAGTTTGGGGAGCAGGACTGGAGAGGGAGGGGACAGGCCAACCCCGGGGCCATGGGCAGGCCCTGCAGAGGGGAGAGCAGGAAGCAGGCCGGGGTGAGTCCCTAACCCTAACCTCCCTCTGCCTCCCCTCCAGGATTGGGGGTGAGAAGGTCATCGTGCTGTCAGCCTCTGCCTGGGGCTCCATCACGGCCGCCACGCCCCTGCTCGCGCACCTGGGTGGTGCCCACCTGGTCTGCATGACCTTGTCTCGAGTCCTCATGGGCCTGCTCCAAGGTGAGGGGCCTCAGGCACTGCCCTCACACTCTGCCCTTCAGCCCTCTGCGCCAAGCGGGGCGGACAAAGGGCGTGTGCACGTGTGCACGCGTGTGTGTGTGCCCTCTCTAGACACCCACTCTCTGCAGTGACACGCAGGATCAGATGGGACGCCACACAGTAAACTTGCCTCCCGGCATGGAACCGAGAAGGACCCGCCGTGGGCTGTGGGTTTCAGGCATCTGTCACGAGCTGGCGATGCCTCTGGGACCAGCCCCTGCTTGACTGTCAGAGGAACGGTGGGGTCCCTGGAGACGCAGCTCGGCCTCCAGCCTGTGGGGCCTGCCCCTTGCCCGGCCTGCCTGGGCGCCCCGTGCACCCCATGGCCCCTCCTCATGCCCCACCCTCCCCCCGAGCTGGCACCAGGCCGGGGAGCTGGGCCTGGCTCCCTGGAGCCTGCTCCCGCTGATCCACGCCCAGGGCATCTCGGGGGCCCTGCCCTCGCTCTCCCCTCTCCTGCTCACTGGGTTTTAGGCCTGGAGGGCATCACGGGGAACCCCCTAGAGCAGGGGAAGGGTCTGCCTTGGAGAAAGGTCCCTCCTGTGGTCCAAGGGCGTCATGTGGGAAACACGGGGCCCCCAGCACCAGCTGGGCCTGCGTGGGGCTGGAGCTCGGCCCACCCTTGGGAAGGGGTGCGTGAGTAGGAATGACGATTGGAGTTTGTGCACCTACCGGGGACCCCATCCCAGAGCCTGCCCCTCCAGCATCACCCCCCCGACAAGCACAGCCTGGCCCGGCTGAGACCCTCAGCCCCTGTGAGGAGATGGGGAGGGAATGAATGAAGGTAGGACCAGCGCCGGGAGGGGGACAGGTCTGCTGCGGCCACACTGGTATCTGCGTGCAGGACTTCTAGGTGGGGGGAGGGGTCCCAATACTGACACAATTAAGAAAACAATAACTGCCTTGAACCAGGCTGGCTGTGTCAGAGTCTCCCTGCCGTTGCTGAGAAGGTCCCCGGACCTCGGGCCTGCGTGGCAGGTGGCTGCCCTCATGGGCAGCCTGGGGAACCCTGGCAGGGCAGCCAAGCCCGTGGGCCAGCTGCCAGCGCCCGGCTGCTCTTCCTCTGCCAGGCAGCCAGTTCGTGCTTCCATGACTCGGCATCCAAGGCGCACCGTTTTCTAGAAACTCTCCAAGCTCTGGCATGTTGGGATGTCAACTGTCATCCTCTGCACAAAAGCTACTGTGGGGGCTGGGTGGCAGCAAAGGTGGCCGCAGAATGACCGTGAGCACCACCTGCGGAGCGGCCAGTCCTGCAGGGTGGGGATGACAGGTGCCTGCGCTGTTTGTGCACGGTCTGGGGAGCTCCCAGAACCCCTGGTGGCGGGTGGTTTGCAGCCCTTGAGGGAGCGGGACCTGCCCCCTGGGCCATGATCGTATTAATAAACACTTTGTGACAAACAGCCCAGGAGTTAGTCAGGCAAACATTTCCTGTGTGTTAGTCGTGTGTGACGATACCACGAATGTAGCATGTAGAGTCAGCGCCCTGCAGACACAGGTCGTGGGTTCCTGTTGTCACCGCAGTCCCCAGGTGGATGCACCGGCAGAGCCCCTGCAGGCCAAGCCTCTAGAACCCCCTAGAACAGAGGGGACGTGGGGTTGTGAGGTGGTCGCCAAACTTTTAAGCTGCTGGAGAATCGTTTGTCCAAAAGAAATCCTAGCAGGAAGTGCGACGTGTAGAACAGGCAGACAGCCTTCCTAGGGAAAAGTGTGTGCGTCTGCGTGTGAGCTCAGCTCACGTGTGTGCACATGGTCGTGTGGGCGCCGTGCGGGCGCCGTGCAGCACAGCGGAGCAGCTGGTGTGCACGTCACGTGTGTGCACGCCTGTGTCAGCGTGAGGACTCGCAGGGCACAGCTGGGAGTCATGTGCTGGTGGCAGGAGTGTGCACACTTGTGCGTGGGCGTGTGTGTGTGCGTGTGTGTGGCAGGAAAGCCCGCTGGGAGCAGACATCTTCTCGCAGCTGCTCCGGGCCTGCCGCCGCAACGGCCCCTCACCCAGCCGAGTGCTTCCTTCGCGGGACTGGGCAAGGGAGCGTGGATGTCCTCTGGATTCACGGTCCAAGCCTGAATGGAGGGGCCGGGGTGAGCCCAGACTGGCTCTCGGCCCCACCGGCAGGCCCTCGAGGGACCCCAAGAGACCCGTCCTGTCCCGTTGCAGGGGTTTACTTCCCTGCCCTGACCAGCCTGCTGTCGCAGAAGGTGCGGGAGAGCGAGCGAGCCTTCACCTACAGCACCGTGGGCGCCGGCTCCCAGATTGGGTAAGTGCCGGCCACAGAGGGCCCAGGAGAGGCCCATCGGGTGACCCGTGCGGGGTGGCCTCCGGTGTGGTGGGGGACGGCTGTGGGGCCCTGCAGGACCACCGGGGGTGAGGTGGGTCTAGCAGGCACGTCTGGCTCTGCTGTTCAAGGCCTGTGTAAAGCGTTTCTTTGTGGGAATTTCTGCCTTTCTGGGGCGGGGCAGTGGCCGCTTCATCTCATTCCTGTGTGGCTGGTCGACTGGGGCCGGATACTGTCCCCACCGTCCGCTGCCGGGAGCAGCCTGTCGGGCCAAGCTTGCAGCCTGTGCTCCAGGCTGGAGGGCAGCTTGTCCTCCACGACATGGAAACCTTGTGCCCCAGCCTCCCTCCCAGCGCCTGTCCCTCGGGTGGCTCCAGGCTATCTGAGGCCTCGCCCCGGGCGGAGGGGCTCCTCCCGGTTGTCAGGGTGGATGCAGGCACTGCTGGCAGAGGCTCCCAACCACTGGCTCAGGCCTCACTGTATCATTGCAGAGGCTCATGGGGCGGCAGGGGTGCCTGCGGGTGGGGCCGGGGCAGCCCATGCAGAGTGGGGGCCACATTTCCCAACTAAAAACGTGGATCGCCTGGGTGTCCTGAGTGGGGAGCAGAGAGAGGGTCACATGTGGGGCTGGGAGGGGCAGGAAGGCTGCCCCCCGCACTGGCACCCAGGCTGAGCCAGGTGCTGTGTCCGCCCCGAGGACGCGCGAACGGAGGCTTGGAGCGAGGAGGCGCCTCTGTGCCGGGCCCAGCTCCGACCCTGCTCTCTCTTTGCCGTGACGGTAACTGTCCTCCGGCCTCGTAACTGGGACGGTGAGATCTCTGGGGCCCGGGGGCAGCGGGCTGTTGCCCTGAGAAGTCGTGCTGCGTTTTCGTCCTCTGTGGTCCTTGAAGCGGAACGAGTGGCGGTTTGGTTTCACCGTAATCTCCGCCACTGTTTTGTTCTCGTTGCCTTTTTAGTTTAAAAGGATCCACAGGACAAACTGTAGGCCAGTCTGAAGGCCTAGCAGCAAGAAGTTAACACAATGCAGGTCCCACAGCAGCCCCCTGGCCGCGTCTCGCGTGGCTGATCCAAAATCCACCCTGGCCCTGCGTGTCCGCGGTCTCCCTGCTCACCTAAAATCCTCACGACACGCGCCAGGCTGGGGCCTCTGAGCTGCTGCCGACAGGCCATGAAAACGCCCTCCTTCCGTGCCCGGCTCACACCGGGATGCGGGCACTGGGATGGGGGGATCCCAGGAGCTGCTCCTCGCTGGGGAGGCCCGGCCACCGTCCTCCCTGTCCCCGCAGGACGCTGCTGACCGGGGTGGTAGGCTCCGCGCTCCTGGAGTGGCACAGCTGGCAGAGCGTCTTCTACTTCTCAGGCAGCCTCACCTTGCTCTGGGCGTGGTACGTGCACAGGTACCTGCTGAGAGAAAAAGGTAACGCGGGCCCGGCGGGCTGGTCCTGGGCACAGCAGCTGCCGTTGCGACCGACACCCCCAGAGGCTGCACGCGGCTCTGACCTTCTCCAAAGAATCCGCCGGATTCCGTGGGAGAGTTCACCTGGGGCTAAGGCAGGCACCTGGGCAGACCTGCCCAGCAAAGGCACAGGCAGGAGCAGGTTGAGCCTTCCGGAGTCGGAGAGGAGCTTTTGGGGGCTCCAGGACGGCTGCCTGGGCTCTGGAGGAAGCCGTGGGAGGGTGGTTTGGAGCACGACCCTCACGCCTCGCTGCCTGCGGGTGCTCCAAAGGCCGGGGGGCGGCATAAGTGCGAGCTGTGAAGAGCAGGCGTGGAGTTGCCTGGCCTGGCCGGTGGCGGTCGCTTGAACCCGCCCCCTCCCTCAGACCTCGTCCTGGCCTTGGGCGTCCTGGTGCGGGGCCTGCCGGTGTCCAGGCACAGCAAGGTCCCCTGGAGGCAGCTCTTCCGGAAGCCGTCTGTCTGGTGAGGCGGGGCCCAGGCGATCGGTGGGTGTCAGAGGGCGGGACTCTGGTGCTGAGGGGCACAGGGCTGTGTCACCTGCCTCTGTCCCCAGGGCGGCCGTCTTCTCCCAGCTCTGCTCCGCCTGCTCCTTCTTCATCCTCCTGTCCTGGCTGCCCACCTTCTTCCAGGAGACCTTCCCGCACGCCAAGGTGGGCTGCGCGGACAGAGCGAGGGCCCCGGGGGTGCGCAGGGCACTCGCGCCCTGGCCCCGGGAGGGGACCCCTTGGCCCTGGCCGCCACTCAGGCTCTTGCGGCCTCGTCACACCCAGAGCTTCGCCAGCGCCCGGCTGGGACCTGCGGCCCCCGCAGAGCCCGCACCTAGGCCTGGCCGCCCAAGCAGGGGTGGGGACAGTGTCAGCTCCTCCGAGGCCGCCCTGCTGCCCTCCCAGCCCTGGTGACCAGGACCCTCTGAGCTGTGCGTTCCCAGGCCAGGGCGGGTCCCCTGGGGCTCTGTCCTGTCAGGCGTGGGGAGCAGTGTGGAGATTTGGGCTGGAGGGGACACAGCCGCTAGTGGACCTGGCCCCCAGCTGGGGGTGATGGTGGGTGGGCACAGTCTGGTTGAAGTCTGCCCCCCAGCTCCCAGGAGGGACCCAGCCTGAGAGTGGAGGGTGGGCAGAGCTTTCCTGAGCAGCTGTGCAGCCGCCTGCAGGTGGCCGGCCCGGCCCCACCCCCCTGAGCGCCTGCTCCTCCCGTAGGGCTGGGTCTTCAACGTGGTGCCCTGGTTGGTGGCCATTCCAGCCAGCGTGTTCAGCGGGTTCCTCTCTGACCATCTCATCTGTCAGGGTGAGCCCGGGCGGGTCCGGGCTGGGGGCCCCACACTAGTCAGCTTCACTGTCAGGGCGGGAGGCTCTCCCGGGGGACACAGCTCCAGCACGTGGAAGAGACCCATGGCCTCAAGGACCAAGCCAAGTGGGACCCCTAACCCCAGGGCCCACCCAGGGTGGACGTGGCCTGGGGTCTGGCCAGATGTCACTCAATCCTTCCTGCCTCAGTGTCCCTGGGAGGGCAGGGCCGGGGCTGGGTGCAGGGAGAGCCCCCTGGTCTCACGGTCTCGTGCAACTAGCCGTAGGCCCCACCACTCTGCACAGTGGTAAAGCACTGGGTGGGGTCAGAAACCCCAGGCCCCACATTTCACCGGGACCCCCAGAGAGCCCCTAGTTGGGGGAGCCGCAGGACAGGCGCCTGAGTCCGCTGTGGGCCACCACTGGCACCCAGCTGCCACACAGCGCCTCCCGCAGGACGATGTCCTCATAGACACACAGGCGCAGTGCACTATCGCGCTCCGCACGCTCGCTCTGCACATGTACACCTGTTCTTAAAACGTCGGTATTCTTCCCGGTTACAAAAGTAGTGCCCACTGGTTGTGGAAAGTTAGAAAATCTGGAGAAACAGAGACAGTGGGAATCCCTTGCCCGGCTTTGGGCTGTCCGTGTGTCTGTCCTTCCGTGCTTTCTACGTGCACGCGTGTTGCCGTGTAGATGCACGGCACACACGCACGCACACTGGAGTGCATGTGTTTTCACCCGTGACACCGGACACCCGTCTTGAGCCGCCACCCCATCCCTCCTCCCTCGCTCCCCAGCAGCCATACTGGGCGGGACCCACGCCGGGGCACACGCGGGGTCCACACAGTGGGCTCACGGGAACCCCCTTCTGTGGCCCCCTCCGGTCAGGTTACAGGCCCATCGTGGTGCGGAAGTTCATGCAGGTAGGAGAGTCCCGCCAGTGGTCCTCTCTGGGCAACCCACTTTGTTCCCCGGCTCCTGGGACCCCAGGATTAACCCCCCAAGTCACCCGATTCCTGGGACGGTCGCTGGGTCAGCTGGGGGCTGGCTCAGGGCTCCTGACCCCGCTGGGCCCACCTGGGCCTGGGCCGAGCAGCTGGGCTTCTTCGTGGGAGCCTCGCCCCAGGTATCCTGGGGCCCGGCAGCGCACCCCAGGCGGCTGTCACGGGTCCTCTCCCGTAGGTGATGGGCCTCGGCCTGTCGGGCATTTTCGCCCTGTGTCTGGGTCACACCTCGAGCTTCTTCGAGTCCGTGGTCTTTGCGTCAGCCTCCATTGGCCTCCAGACCTTCAACCACAGGTGAGGGCCGACCGCCCGGCCACCAGGGCCGCCGTGCTGCCGCCCGGGCCCAGGACAGGGAGGACAGGGCGGGTCCCCACAAGTGATCCTGGAGGCATAGGCTGCTTAGTGACCGGGGAGGGTGTCCCGCCAGCATGGGCCTGGCGGTTCCAGAAAACAAGGGCCTCCGCCTGGGAGGGCTGGGAGAGGGTCACCGCGGAGCACTCCTGCGACGGGGACATCTGCCTTCGTGTCTTTTCCTCTTGTCTCGCCCCTTCCCAAGCTACAGTAGCGATTGCCGCGCCCCAGGTGGTTTTGGGCACCAGGAATTCAAAGCGGGGAGCAGGAGTGAGGGTGTGGGAGCCACCCTGAGCTTCTCCCACCACGTTTGGTCCCAGGAGCAGCTTCCTGGGCGGGTCCACCTCGAAGGAGGGCCGCTGCGGGGCGGTGGTGCGTTGGGGTCCCCCAGCGCTCCTCCCGTGGCTCTGCCAGTCCTTTCTTCTCCTCCACGGCCTCGGGGCTCCGGGCACTCAGGGGACTGGCCGCGGCCACTCTCCGCTCTCTCTTGGCTCTGCAGCGGCATTTCCGTGAACATCCAGGACTTGGCCCCGTCCTGCGCCGGTTTCCTGTTTGGTGAGGACTTGGGTCACCCCAGCCTGGCCCTCCCCGGCCGGCGGGCGGGCTGTGGCGCTCACGGTGGGCTCCCTCTGCGTCCTGACGCTCTGCCGCTCCCGCCTGTTCACAGGTGTGGCCAACACAGCCGGCGCCGTGGCAGGTGAGGGGCCTGCCTGTGGGTTCGAGCCCATGTCAGCGCTGCCGGGTGGGGGTGCCCTTTGGAAGGGGTCCCAGTGTCAGGGGAGGGCACGGATCCCAGAGCTGGCCCAGGGACAGAACACAGCCACCTTCCCAGGTGACCTTCACTGATGCTGGGGCTCGCGGGCTACTATCTGCTATTCGACCGGCAGTGCAGGCTCCGGGACGCCACAGGTGTTGGGGGCTCACTCTGCAGCTCAGCCCCCAGCTGCTGGCCCTGGCTCTCAGCTCCCTCCGGAGGGAGCAGGTGGGGCTCGTTAGGGGCAATTTCCTGGGTGGTCTGTGAGGTCTGTGCTCCTCGGAGACCCTCCGAGTCTAAGCCTGGCCTGGCAGCTTGGACACCTGAATTCAGCCCTGGGAACCACAGTGGCTTCTGTCCACCAGGCGCCACCCACCACGGCCTTTCTCCCTGGGCCACCCAGAGCACTCAGCCCGCTGTGCCTCTCTCGGGCCAGGTGTGGTGGGCGTGTGTCTGGGCGGCTACCTGATCGAGACCACAGGCTCCTGGACTTACCTGTTCAACCTAGTGGCCGTCACCAGCAACCTGGGGCTGTGCACCTTCCTGGTGTTCGGGCAGGCCCAGAGGGTGGACCTGAGCCCCGCCCGCGAGGATCTGTAGCTCCCGACCGGCCACCTTCCGAGGACTCAGCACCAGCAGCCCCGGCACAAAGGCTCCGTTGGAGACGTGGAACAGAGGCACCGGAGCCGCAGCAGCTCTGAGGAGTCCACAGGAGCTGGCAGGAGGCGCGGCAGACGCCGGGGCTGCGGCGGGCCTGGGGCAGGACCAGGCTGGCCCTCGGGGCCTTCAGCTTCCCACGTCCCCCCGGACTGGCCTCACGTGGCTGTCGGGGCGAGCGGCGCTCTTTCCAGCATCCAATCCCGGCAGGCCGGCCCAACCGTGGGAACACGTGCCTGTCAGTGGGGCCGGGCGGAGGGACAGCAGACCCGTCTGTGGTGGGGACTGTCCTCACACCTCCACCGCTCCTAGTCTCCCTCCCCAGCCCTGTCACGACAACCAGAAATGTCTCCTGACTTTGCCCGACGTCCCCAGGGGCGCCACCGCGGGAGAGCCCCACTCTAGACAGGCTCAGGGCTCCTGCTTCTCCCTCGGCCAGGCTGAGACCCCGGCCGATGGGGGCCGTGGAGGCCCCGCTGCCCCGCTGTGGGTCTCTGGTCCCTGACGCACACTCTGAGGAGACAGGGCCCTCGACCCGCTCGGCTTCCGGGGCCGGACGCTGCGACTGAACAGGGAGCGTGGCAGCGCCAGGGCAGGGCCCACGCCCGGAACCAGCCGGACCCCCTTCCTGGTCCCCCGCGACCTCCCTGTTCGGGCCTGAGGAGCTGGCGTCTCTGGAATTGATAACAGGTGTTGCAAGACGTGTATGGAGAGGAATTACACCAAAGCCTTATTTAAGTGATAACTATTAAACTATTTAAAAAGAAGATTATTTAACACCTCTGTGTTTTAAGAATAAACAAACACGAGTTAGAGATTTCATGTAGCTCATTCAGGAGTCGAATTCGTGAAGGTTCGAACCAGGTCACAGGAGAAGCCGGGAACAGCCACCCCGTGGATCAGGAACGTTGAGATAAACGCGGACGTGGACCCGACACTGGGTTCTGGCTGCTCCTGCGCCGGCAGAAGCCGTGCGCGTCCCAGGGGCCCACGGAGCTCCTGGCTCCTGCGGAGTCGGACACCCACCGCGCTGCAGGGCGACAGCGGACAGCTTTCCACGAGGCACAAGTCCTCTGCGGTCCCCCCAGTTTGGGCCAAAACAACCCACAAGGTAAGATCGTCGGTCTCGAGTGAGTCTGGCCTGCCGCGTCTGACCCGATCCTGCCCTGGGCGCAGCCCGAGTGCCACGGGCCTGGGACGCTCTGGGGGCTCCAGCCCGAGAACTTGCCCCGGCACATTTCGGGGGCAGGACCTGTGCATGTGAGAGGATCCCCGTCCCCTCCCCCCGGCGGTAGGCGCCACATGGCATAGCAGTTGCCATTGTAGCCATTTGTAAGCATGCAGATCGGTGGCAGTGAGTGTGTTCACGTCACGGTGCAGCCGTCACCGACCGTCTGCAGAACATCCTCCCACCCTGACCCTCCGTCCCCGCTGAGCATGGGAGGAGCCGTGTCCTGGGATGGGCTCTGGCCTGCGAGTGTCCCCTGGAGGTGGGGGCCACCACCGTGGCCTCTCCTGCGGGGGGTGCTGGACCCTGAGGCCGGAGTGGGGGAAGAGGTTTGCTAGGGGAGCAGGAGTCAGCCTGGGGCAGCCCAGCCCCTCCCCCCAGTCCCTGCAGGGGGCCGGTGTTATCTGGGGTGGACAGACAGACAGGCCCCACCCTGTGGGCGGCTCCTTGGCCCGAGCCCCCAGCAGGGACAGAGGCAGCGGCACAGCCAGCGCTGGGGGTATAGGGAGCGTACCTTTGCCCCTTCAGTGCCTCACTCCGGAGCGTGTTCAGCAGACAGTCCTGACCCTCGTCCGCCCAGAGCTGACCAGACCGTGGCAGTCCTGTTGGAGGGGCCATGGCACTGGTACGCAGGCGGCCTCCCGGGGCCATTTAGGTGGAAGAAGAGGAGGAACCCGGTGTTGGGGGGGACACCCAGGCCCACGTGAGGAGGCAGTGGGTGGCAAGGCGGGGCCTGGCCGGAGCACAGGGTGGCACACACCCACCCAGGACCATGTGAGCAGCCACCACACTGCTGGCGAGAGGCCTCAGACCTGGCTCTTCCGCCCACTGCCCTAGACCCTGACTCGGGGACACCCAGAGCCCAGGCCGTTTCTCTGCGACCCAGGCCGGGCCCCACGGGCAGCGACAGCATGGGGGAAGCAGTCCCCAGAGTCTGCACCTTCAGTCCGTGGAGGGAGGCTGCCGTGTGTGCTGTGTGTGTGTGTGTGTGTGTGTGTGTGTGTGTGAGAGCGTGCTTGTGTCCCAGTGTGCACGTGGGTGCCAGGGGCCCCACAGCCTTTGGACAGGGCCGCGCCCATTCTCCATCCGGCCGGCAGAGGGTGCCGTCGGACAGGGCTGTGTCTGCTCCAGTCCCCACCTGGGACGCAGCGTGGGGCGGTGCAGAGCTGCTCGGCTAGGTAAGAAGGGACGGGGCTGGAAGGACGATGCTCCTGGCGTAGGGGACAGCCTAAGTGGTATCGGGGGAAGGTCACGTCCAGTCCGTGGTGGAGGAGGAAGACTTGGGAGGGGACCGGGCCTGGCCCTAACCCCCCGCAGGGCTGGTGGGTGTGCCTGTCGGGGGTGACCAGGGCCCCTGGGGGTGTGGGGCCTGTCAGGGGCCTGATGCTGTGGTAGGAACCTCCCACCGACCCACCCCTCCCACAGTCCGGGGTCCCTGCAGCAAGTTCCTCCCGCGGCCAGCAGGTTTGGACACATGGCGCGTCTGTGTCTGCCCTTAATGAGAAGATGCTGCGGCCAGGCCTCTCCCTCAGAGCCCCAGGGCGGCAGCGACCCGCAGACCCCAGGGCTCAGGGAGGGCAGCGGGGCTGCCATGGGCACCGGGTGCGGGTGGAGGCCGCCAGCTCCCCAGCAACCCCGGGGGACAGTCCTTCACCCACCAGCAGCCCTGGCCGCGGGGCACAGGGAGGCTGGGCTCCCACATGGCAGGGCCCAGCCAGGTGGTCGGGGGCGGCAGTGCCCACCCCACTTAGTACGTGGCTTTTTCCCACGTGTGTGCGCGTCAGGCTTGCAGGGCCGCTCCCGGTCTTTGTGGCAGTCGTGTTGGAACCTTTGTGATGGTGACACTCATGCTGGGGAGGGGGAAACCTGGAGCAGTGTCTCCCACTGCCCCCGCCACCAGGCGCGGCCTTGCAGGCAGTGTCCTTCAGCCCTAGGTCGTAGGTCGGCCACGCCCTGCAGGTCCCCGCCCCTCCTTGGGGGCTCCCAGACATCCATCCCAAGGTGGGGCCACCTGAGCTGGGACAATGCCCTGGGCTGGTGGGCCTGGCCCCTCCAGGGACCTCGCTCTGTGGTGGACGGCGGCTGGCGGGCGCCCTCCCTGCTGACTCCTGCCGGGCGGGTAGGAAGGAAAGATGTGAGTCAGAAATACGCTTGTGACGGGATTCACTCCATCGTGTTTAACGGGAAAGCGTTGAAGTCGAGGCACGAACATGCGCGTCGGGGCTGCCGGCGCGGACCGTGTCTGTGTGGGGGCCCAGCGCGGAGTCTGTCCAAGGGGGAGCCACGGCGGGAAAGCTATTAATTGAAATAGCTTCATTAATTAGTAATTAACAGCGGGTAATGACTGTGTCACACGTCGTATTTCAGCGGATGCCCTTCATGTGTTATGGGGCCTTTAATTAAAGGACGTGCATTTTAATTAAAGGCAAGCTTGGCCCTTTGGCCTTTGGAATACAAAAGATGCTGGCGGTGAGGCTGGTGCCAGCGAAGGGGAGGGGGCTGCCACCCACCTGCCCCCACCCAGGCCCCTGCTGCTTCCAGCCCGTCCCTGGCGTGTCTTCCTCAGGGTCTGGCTGGTGACCTGGTGGCCACCTGGGGTCACAGGCCTGTGCAGAGGGGACTCGGCTGGATGGCCATGGGGGGGGTGCTCCGGCTGTGCTGGGGGCTGGAAGCTGGGCCTGGAAGGATAAGGGGGAAGGAGGAGGGAGGAGTCGGGGGAGGACCTGCGGGGGCAGCAGGCGGCCGCGAGTGTCCATCCAGAACAGCCAGCAGTAGGTGGAGGGCGTTGGCTCCTGGCACGCAGGGCAGGCCTCTGCTCACCAAGCTCCTGCGGAGGGTCAGTGGCAGCTCCAGAGAGACAAGACGAAGCCCACCTAGCGGCAGCCAGGCAGGCCCTGGAGGAGGCCAGGGCGGAAGAGGGAGCCCCGGCCCCACATGGCCACCCCGACAGACAAGGCCCCTCCGCAGGCCCGAGCCTGGCCCAGCTTCTCCTCTCACGTCCCACCCCCACCCCCAGGTGGCCTGGGAGCAGATGACCACGCTGCCCGCTCCTGGCAGGGGAAGGACTTCCTGCCGCCAGCCCACTGGTCCCCATGACCCCTCCCACAGCCGGTCCCTGAGCCTGGACCCTGACCTTCCCTGCAGCCCCTGCCTCCTGCCAGACAGACAGCAGCCGGCTCCCCCCAGCAGCCGGCTCCCCCTCTCCCTCCAGCCCACTTGGCCTCTGCCTCTGCCTCTGCCTCTCTCTATCTCTCTGCCTCTCCCTATCTCTGCCTCTGCCTCTCTCTCTGTCTCTCCCTATCTCTCTGCCTCTCTCCCTGTCTCTCC